CTCTAGTTTTCTGCAACCAAGTGCAAAAAAGTCTCACAGTCGAACTTGATGCGGTTCACTCAGTTCTGTTTCCCATAATAAAACCCAGTACTCCAATAAAAAAAAAGTTTTATTCTTTCTAGACTTAACCATTACTGCTATAGAATGTAAGTACCTGGTGGATTCAAAAAAGTCCAATATTAACTCCAATTACCTATATGTCCCACCACAGAAAAGGACTATGTGGCCAAAATACCTTTCTGAATATTGTTAACACAAACATATGGGATGTCAGCATCTATGTATTTATGTAAGTGCATAGAAATTTTAGTTCCACTAATTGGCCATTACACCAAATATCTCCCACAGAAGAGAAATCCAGGAGTCTTCTTACACATGGATTCATCTTTAGCATTTGCTTGGAATTCTGTGTGAATTCTCTCAGACTATTTAGACTTTTCATTAAACTAGATTTTCATACTTTCACCTGTCTACTTTTTCTGATGCATTTGTTCTCTCATAGTGCAGACTCTTTCAAACAGTAGATAGAAATATGATATACTATGTTCAAACAGTAGATAGAATAGATTTCTGCAAAATCTGAAAAAGTCAAGACAATTTACTTACACCACCCCTCAATATTTATCTTTCTGCATCACTAGTGTTTCCAGTTCTGTTTGACCTGTGTGGTCATTCCCTATTCCCAGAGGATGATGATACCAAAATCTCTTTAATTATGCTACAATAGCAAAAGCATGCTAAATAGATAGAAAAGACATAAAAATTAGACACATGCTTGCTTATCTTAACTTGATCTGTCTGTATACACATCTCTAGTATCAAGTTTGATTCTTTATCTTTTGTTAAAATGTTATATTTTTTAATAGAACTGATATTACAGATGATAGATGCTGTTATTCTGAGCTGACAGTGCACAAAAAGTACTATTAATGATATCTTACACTTATTTTTTCTAGGACCACAGAATTGTTAAAGTTTAGTTAACAGATGTTTTCCAAATGGTCTCAGGAAAACCTCCTTAGATTAAGTTCTACTTACCCAGTCTATTTTATCCACATTCCAGTATTTTTTTAAGTCACGGAACTGCATTAGCATCCCCTTCAAGCCCACAACAATAATGCTTGCTAACACACACTGCAAAAACATAAACACAAAAGCCATTTGAAGAGTTGCTAGTGAAAACAAATGCTGTTTCTTTTATTGAGCAGTCAATATCATAATTAAATTATAAAAAGAACTGGTAGGTGTTTAGAAAATAGGATAAGCACAGGTGTCCTTGTGACAGCTGATAACAGCAACAACCACCCTATCCCCATTTTTTTTTTTTTTTTGTGAAGGAAATCTACAGGTTACCTCATTGAGAGAAAAATAACAGAAACCTCAGGACTACTAAAGACTCTTCCATGCATCACCAGACCAAGTACATTCTGCCACAGTCTGAAGGACTCAAAAGCAAATCAACACTCTGCTTCCATGCAGTGAAGAATTGTAACTCCCCTTCCTCACTTCCTTCCCTTCCCCTAGAGAAGTCCTCTAGGGCAAAAGTCCATTAATTTTTAAGCAAAAAAAAAACTTTTTTTTGTTCTTTGACACAGGAGGGAGGAGGGGACGGATGAAGAAATCATCTAGAGCCAAAAAAAAAGGAGTACAAACTGATGGACTTGCAGTGCATAGACAGGGCTGAAAAAGCATATTAGAAGAGAAACAAATTACCAAGAACGCAAAAATCAAAAAGTATTTTTAAAATATGGGGGGAAAAATCCTACAGGAAACTGGTCAAAATTTACCTATAATCCATATGAAAAGAAATGAAAGTAGGGAAGTATAGCAAAAAAAAAACCCAGGACATATTGTGCACCCTTCTTCATGTGTCCTTACTTTGCATGGTTAAAATAAACTATAAAAGGATCTGTGTTTGAAAAGTGAGAACTTTCATGACACCATGTAAACAATAGCACAAAGCAAGTTTAAAACATAGTTGAGTTAAAACTTCATGTACATACATGGCAGAATTGTGGATAATTTTGGAGCTGTATTTAGTAGCTTTGACATGCCTCTAGTTAAAATTAGCTATTAATTTGTAATACCAAAAGATAGATATAGCTTATGTGAAAAGATGCCACATTGCTTTAAAGAGTCTTAGCATAGATGTATTCCATGACAGAAATATAAGAATATTTTACAATCTTTTTGTAATTAAGCTTATATCACTATCTAAAATAATTTGTGTCAAATTTATTCAAAAAGTAAATTTGTGTATCATGTACATATCTGAAGAAATATCATGAATCTTCATTAATTTCTACCACACTTTGTCAATTTACAAATTCACAGTGACCTGGGTGTATATTTTTCATTAACTACATGCCAAAAGTAAGTAGAAGAGAAATTCACTTCTATACTCTTACATAAGAGTATATATATGTAACTATATATGTATAAAATCTATATGTCTTATGCTGTCACCTCTGTACTTTATGATTTCAAGATTTAGCACACCCTTACTATTCTTTTGGCCACTGAAATTAAATAGAGCTGTGTTAAAGGCTGCACTGTCTTTCCCTAAAAGAAACTGTCCTTAGAAAATGTTTGACATCATAATCTTTAAAAAGGTTAAGCACTATACCATAGGAAGCCAGTACAGCAGAGGTCCAATTGTGTAGATCACCACAAGAATTACTACACAAGAGATAAGGCAAGCCACCTAAAACAATAAACAAGAGTTGCATATCATTCCGTCTAAAGACAACAAAAACCACAAAAGAAATTTGGAAAAGTATTAATTATAAAATATTGTAGACAAAGTCAAGAATCAGATGTTGAAGGTGTTAGCTATTAATGTATCTGTGGATTGTAGATGCATCTAATTTCAATTTTAATCTCGGATTATTGCCTTTAATCAACTACAGTGATAACATAGTGAGAGATCTCAACATCTGTGCTTGACCCTGCTGCCAGCACACTGACACAGATCAGAGCATCACTTACATGTTTGGGTATTAAATGGAACGTGTGTGTGCAATGTTTCATCCCAGAATTTTCTCAGCACCCACTGTCATTCTGCAACTTATTTATAGCCATGCACCCTATGTTGTACTAAATAACAGTTCTGTCATAGCACTAAGCAAGAATTTTGTATGGCATTTTTCCACAAGAGAAGACTTCTAACTTCTTTTGTTAGGATTGACACTAAAATAAAACTATTTTTAAATCAGAAACCACTAAAAATTTCATTTTAATATCAGTGTATTTACTTTAAAAATGTAGGTACAATTAAAGATTATAATGCAAGTAATATAAATTCAGAAAAATATATGGTCTAATAATTCTATTATTCACAGTATACATGGTATTAATCTGATGGAAAATTACAGTAAAATTGCACTGTCCTATACCACTCTGAGTGCTCACTGAGTACTTCTGGTCTTATAAATATACAGTTCAGATTCACAGAAGGTTTTTGACGCTAAGTAGACAGATGCTCACTTTATTTTTATATTGATAATATGTTTCTTTACTAAAATAATTAGGTTTCATTTTAAGAGACAAGTTGTTAAAAACAAAACCAGACAAGTTGTTAAAACACTAGAAAATTAAAGTCATGGTGTACTTAAAAATACCATCAAGAAGGATAGACAGAGTGTTTACATAAAAAGGGACAGAAAATCTGCTGGTAAAGTCACAAGGAACTTTTCCCTCTTTCTGCCTTCATGAAGAGCAAGAAAAAAAGTGTTGATTTTATTTGAAGGATGCTTCTATTCCATGATAGAATTCCTCACTTCTCTTTTCTCACAGGAAATATATATCACTGAGGAACAAATGACAAAACTGCAATCCAGGTATAGCCATTTGAGAAAAAAGAGCTGCTCTGTGCCCCTGAAAGGCTCTTTGCATTTCTTCCATGTGTGACGCCAAACTGACTTTTCTCTAAGTTAAGGAAAGGCTTCTTTTTGCCTATGACCTGACCAATATTTATAAGTGATGAACTTGTCATCTCCTCATTCTATCTGGACAGCCACAAAGGATATCATTAAGCTGATGTGTTGCTTTCCAAGGGGAGAGATTGTTATTCCTAATAAAATACTCTCATAGTGCTAACTCATAGCCACACTCTTAACTTTTAGACACCACCACTGCTATACTGTGAAACCAACAGATAAACCAAGGGGATTTTTATTGTGTGTTTGGTGTCTTGAAATCAAATTATAGGGGTTTCTTTTTCCATTTCATGTATTGAATAACCTTTTATCAGGGTCTTTCCCTACATGCACCAGAGCCAACATGCTCAAATACTCCACATGCTTCAAAGTTATAAGTCTGCAGGTTACCTCAAATCTTCCATGGAAAAACCAGTACAGCATGATGCAGTACTACTGTAAATTGCACAATCAGTACATTAACAAATTACAGAAGAAAATATCTGTGAGGATAGCAACTCGTTGTATGACATAAGATTTAACTAAAATACATGAAATAACTAATAGCCAAGTGGTAGCTAAAATATTTGCATATAAATATTTTCAAGATTATTATTTGTTAGATTATTCATTATGATTTAGTTCAGAGTATTCTGTAGGCTAATTAGCAATTATTTAACATGTAGATTATTGGAGTAAAGCCCTGTATAATTCCTTAATATTGTGGCATCTGCATGAGAAATAATTGCAAGGCATGGTTGAGGAGAAACAGTACCTATGGATTGTATTTAGTCTTGTACCTCATGAACCTTTTCCTTGCAGCTAATGTCCTTTATACAGGTGAGAGAAACAGCTATAAAATCAAATTAGAATTATTGAATCATAGAACTGTTAAGGTTAAAAGATGTTAAAGGTTAAAAACCTTTAATGTAATCAAGTTAACCGTCAACACAGCACCACCACTGTGTTCACCATTAATCCATGTCCTCAAGTGCCATATTAACACAATGCTTGAAAACTTCCCAGGATGGTCTCCTGCAGTTACTCTGGGCAGTCTGTTCCAATGGTTTATAGCCCTTTCTGTGAAAAAAACAAGTTCTGATATCTAATCTAAACCTTCCCTGGATCAGCCTGTTGGTGTTTCCTCTTGTCCTGTCACTTGTACCTGGGAGAACAGCAACAAACTCCAAAGGACATGACATTGATCTGCCAGGTTGCCACTGAAAGGCCCTTGAGTTTCAGAGGAAGAGCAATGCTGTGGGGTGCCCCAGGTGGTTTGCCACCCCTCTTGTTCACAAGCACAATTTGGACAGATGTCAGGCTGACAGGGTCACAATTATTATTCTCAGCAATTACAGTCCCCTCTTTCCTGAGCTACTGTAATAACAGCTTGTGCATTTAGTTTCCTCAGTAGGAAATAGCAACAAACAACCTCAAAAATCTAAATGTCGTCTCTGTAGGCTCAGTTTACACCGAGGGATAGGACAAGCACACCATGTCACAAGGCAGAAGCTGGGATATTACATGTGGTTTTTTTAACAAACAGCTCTAAAGGTTGCTTTCATTTTATTTTGGAACTCAGATAGAAGATAAATTAAATGAGATTCATGAAATGTAATTTTTTTCCTAAAATTTTGGTTTAGACTATACCATTAAATCCTTTAAACACCATTAGAGGGCACTTTTGTTACAATGCTGACAAATTCACATCAACTGAAAGGGCTTTCATATAGTTTCCTGCAGTCTGAAAGCACAACTCCTAACTTCCTTGCTGCTACAGACCTTACAGTTCATATTGAATGAAACAGGTAAAAATTAATAACTGGAACTATTGTCTTTCCTAGAAAGGCACCACTGATCAGATGCAATTTCATGCAGATTCTTAAAAATGACAGGGCAGAGGTATTCGTGGGAAAGAGGAGAAGGGAGCCTAGGGAAATACAATGGATAAATCAGTACAAATTGCAGTGAGCAGAATCACAGCTTTAATTCTCTGATGCACTTCACTCTAAGCCGTTACCTGTGTTTTGGCGCCCGTGCTGTATAGAAGCGCCGTCCGTCCCATCGCTGCGGCACTTGGTATGCAAAAGAAAAATGAAGGAATCACGTTGCTGAGGCCATGAGCCAAAAATTCCTGCAACGTCATTAAATAGAAGATGTTTTTTCATATTGTGTTTTCATTTCAATGCCTCTTGCCAACAAAAGCAGCAAAGGAGTCCCCTATATAAATATTAGCAATGATAAAGGATGGACACATTTTTGAGGGAAAACATCCCACAGGTACATGACTAAAGGGTTTCCCAACAGAACAGATCTTCTCCCAACTCAGAACTAATTTGAATGACAGAGCTGTTGAACCAGATTCATCAAGAGCAGGAGGTACATTTTATTCCCAGAATAAATGCTATTGCTAAGTTTTGAAAATTAAGTTCAACCAAAATATTTACATCTTGATCCACGTCTGCTTTTTAACTGGTCAGAGCCCCAAGTATTGGTGTCTGGAAACCATCCAGATAATTTCTGGTGTATGGCTCACTAGAAAAAGAGAGCCACTGATTTCTCTTCCTTTAGAGCATGTTTTAATGAAAGCACAGAACCTGATGTAGCAAGACCAGCCTGTGTAGATGGGTGTTCAAATAGACATCCAGCTGCAAAACAGCTGTTCTTCATTCACCCCTATGTCATTTATCCCAAACCATAAAGGTGGAGGCAACATTTTCATCACAGTAATAGTGCCAGTTATCTGAAATTTAGCCTTTCTTCCCACATTGCTTGAATTAGCATCTCCATGGATTTCCAGCAGGCTTGGAGTTACCCACCCACCATAACAAGCACTGTAGTAATGTAGAGACAACCCATTTTATTTAAGCATGTCCTCTGCAAAATGGAACTCGGGACAAAAATCTCCTTTGGCTGTAAATCTGGCAGCACTCTCTGAACTCACTCAGCTTCTTAGATAAAAATAAACCTTTATTTCCAGTGACATTTCTATTTTGCATAAATATAAATAATTTTGTATTATAACATCAGGTAAATACTGGGGCTATAAGTACCTGGTTTTGGTTTAGAATTGCTTTTCATTAACAGTAGCTGATTTAACATCATAGCTTTTCTATAAGAGCTCAACTGCCGGAGGAGAAGGTGTCTCATCTTAGAGCAGTGAAAAATGCATTATTACCCAAATGCTGCATGGAATGTAGCATTACAAGATTATCCTGAAGGATGAGTTTTCCCAAAAAGAGCAGTTCAACCAATGAGGGCATTCTGCACAGATAATTTAAACAAAATTTGGGTGCTACTGTAAACACTAGAAGGTGTCAGGATGCTATATGGAACACAACTTTTCCTACTGGGTATTCATCTATAATATTCTCCCCAAATGGTGAAGTGATTTCAAGACTCAGTGACACTAAGGAGAAAGAGCTTTACCTGGTTGTCATCCACAGTGTATTTAAACTTTTTAGCAGAGGCTTGAGCAAGCGCTAGTGAGGCTACATAACCAACCAGTGCCACTCCAAAAGCTTCAGTGACTACTTCAGGCAGGACACTCATGGGTGGTGCTTTTGGTGGTGGCAACCTATAAAAATAAAGACAACAATTTTTGCAAAACTCAATACATAGTCTCTATATACCTGCAATTTATGTGAATACCACAGAAACAATGTCTGCAGGAGCAGGAATTTTTGTATTACTTGTAAGGTGACTTTTTTCAATATTTTAGATTCATATTTTAGATCTCAGTCTGTTGGAAACAGCAAAAGAGAATTTGTAGATGACGAAACAGCTTCAGATGGAGTATTCAATTTGAAAACTTCAATTTGATAAATTATAAAGAGATGTTGATAAATTAACTATGTGACTGACAAAATTTGTCACTAATTCACTAATTTTGCAGTGTTGAGTAGAAAAGACGACTGTATGTTTTCTCCTTTTTTAATATAGTTGGCTTTCCTGCAAAGTTAAATTTAAATCTTTAAAAAATTTTGTATTCCTGTAATTTACTGACAGTACAGATATTTATTCCGTCTAATGGGGAATCAAGTTATGAATCAACCCATCCCATATTGTCTCTGAACTCTTCAAAAAGACTTTGGTCTTTCCAGAGCATAAATCACACTGTCGGAAAACTAAATTGTGCTCTTAAGGTTTCTGATGATCTACACTGACAAGGCAGTTAGGTATTTCAGGAAAATGCCTAAAAAATATGTATTAATTATCCAGGCTCTGCTTCTGTTTTTCAACACTATTTGTATGAGATAGCACAAAAGATAAATTCTTGATTAAATTTGTACAAATACAGTTTACTTGTTTATTAGAAGGGGCACATTTAGCTGTGTTCTAGTCTCAGATTTGTAGCCTGGTCTAAATAATTACATAATCTTTCAAAGAGATGTCCCTTTTATCTCTTTCAGTGCAAGCTGCCACACATGCACTCATGCTGTCTTGGACTCCTGCTTTGTGAAATTTAGGGAAACACTGCTATATACAAGCAGGAGATAACACAACAGCTGTGCTCTTCCATACCAACGTGTAGAGTTTGCACACTTTGACATTTAATCTAATTTCTCTTTCTAGCAAATTATATTGAATTTTTTGGCCTTCTTTTCAAGTTCATGGAGGAAAGTGTATCATTAACTATAGCAAAAAAGTTCTCTTTTAGATTAAGCATAATTAAATCTTTCACATTTTGTCAGAAACCACATTTTCTAAAATTACTATATGGGTGGAGAAGAATGAAGTGTAGTAATCTACAAATCTTATCTCATTGTAAATCCTTTCAGCTACAATAACCCAAGCCAGCCCTCAAAAAGCAGGTTGCAATAATCTTGTAAAGAGTATTCTGCCCTCCTGTCATACATCATCAACTACTTAGTACCTACTTTTTATTCCACAAAGCAATAAAAAGCTATGAAAATATACAAGGATGCATTTTTGTGATGATATCTATGCACATATAACTTACTAACATTAGATTGAATTGTGAGAGAGTGTCTGAGGAGACAGGAGAAAAACAAAATAGATTTTTACCATTTCTTATTTCAGAAACTACTTTGATCTTTTCAGAGACTGCTCTCAGAAATAAAAATATTTAAAAGCCACAAGCTAATAAATCCACATTACCCTTTAGGAATATTTCCCACAACTTCTATCCTGTAGACGTACTCCATATCAGCATAGTAGCAAGCAAGGGATGTAGCAATTATCTGTTGGTTCAAACAGAAAAAGATGTTATATTTCTGTTGCTTCTGATATGGTCCCTATTATTGCCATACCTGAGCACATGGCACTGTTCATACATTTATCCTTAGATCAATCCAGTAAAACAGGAAAGTATTACAATTCTTTTTGGCTTTCTGAGGTGTTTTTGGGGTTTTTTTTGCAAATATGTAAGACCATCAAAAGAAACTAAGATTTGGACACAATAATGATGTGGGACTACAGTGCAGTTTGTACATTTTGTGTTAATGAAAGAGATTTGTATGGCTCTCTGTGAAGCCTCAAGAACCTTGGCAGTCAATGTTGAGAGCCCCTCTGTTCAGCATGTGCCCCAGAGCACTGCCATTCATCTAAGCAGCTTAATGTAGTTCATGATTTAGGTGTTCCTGAGTAATCTGACTCAGCAGATGTTCTCTGAGCATGTCTAATCCAGACTGGCAGTGTTGACTTCAGCACAGACCACAGCAGAAGATGTGTCTGCCTCTTGTTTTTATGTTCTAGCAGGTACAAATATTGCAGAGGGAGTATAAAGTTTGATTCTGAGGAGGTTCAAACTCATTTCCTGTATTTCAAATGAGATGCACACACAAATCCCAATAGAACAGGGTTCTGGTACATTTTATCCAATATTTTTTAAAAAGGTAACACTGAGACCAGGATTACACTACTTCCTTTTCCAGATTTTTGCCCTTGTAAATATTTTCTTTTCCAGCAACAGAAGAGTAATTGTGGTAATGAGCTCTGAAAACCAACTGTCCTTCATACTTTGTATTTTTTGTTAGTGGTTTACAGAAAAACAGAAACTTTCTAATGGTGATCTGGTGATGATCATTTGACTACATTTTAATCCTTAAAGCAGGGGGTATAATGTAATTGCTAATTTTAATTTAGTCTATACCATGTTAAAAGAAAACATGTTAGTAAAATGACAGAAAGCAATAGCATAGCTATTTAACTTTGTTGTAGCTAAATCACAAGCAACATCTAAGTCACAACTACCCAGCACAAGACTTGCTTGGAGTTAAAGTATATCGGTTACTTTTTATTTTCTATTTGAAACTTCTTACACTTCAACATTCTAGGCTTTATGTTCTTGTGATTATGTAAAAAGTAGTAAACATATGAAAAATGTTATACAAATTGGGATCTTAATTATTAAGCCAAATTATTTCCTGTTTTTACAATTAACTTACAGCCATGAAAATCAGTTGTCTATTTAATAAGATGTGGGTGTGGGTGTGGGTAACTATAGACAGCACAGTAAACTTCAGCAGATTGAGCCATTGAAAGTTTTGTAAGAAAAAGCCTTATATATAATTTTGTACTTACCAAAAGTAGATCGATGGGAACGACAACTTTAATGTTTCTGTGAAATTTTTCATTCAGCTCCTTAACAAGAACCAGTACCACAATGCTCAGCAAGGAGAGAAGTAATGCCTCCAACTGAACTGATCTGATATTCTCAAACACATAGGCATAAATCTACAGTGAATAGCAAATAACAATCACAGATCAAAAAATATATTCTGGATCACATGCCATGGCATCTTCTCATGACTTAGGACAAATAATGAGTGACAGCTGAATCAATACTGCAGGAGCTGAGTCACTGGACAAGTTTTTGGCCTGTATTTTAGATTTTACAGAGAAGAAAATAATCAATTTACCACTCTTATGTACTTTGGAAAACTAAAAAAAAAAAAAAAAAAAATTTTTTTTTTTTTTTTTACAAATTTTTTTTGGTAGAAGCAAGTTATAAAATTCCAATAAATGTGATATGTTTACTTTTCTTTTTCAGTCTCATTAAGTTCAGTGAGATAAATGAGTGTCACATAAAAATGCTGAGAAAAGTTTCTTGCACAAAGGTTTATTTGTAGTGCCCATAGTATATAACATGTACTAATGCTAGTAAATAAAAGACAGAAAATAAAAGAAGGAGAGGAAAAAAGAAAAGGGAGAGGAAAATGCAGTAGATCCAACAGGAATCTTCAATACAGGCATTCTCTGCGATTTGTGGGTCGTTTTTCCAGAGTAATGTTTTCCCAGAGTAATTTCAGCAGGCCATCCTCAGTCTCCCCGTTGGTTGCTCTTGCCCCTTACACAGTGCTCCATGAAGCATGCTTTGGTCAGGTCTAGGTGCTGCACACACTAAATAATTGCCAAGCTTGCATACATATGCTACTGGTCATTTAAATAACTGAAGTTATCTGCTTTGCCCTGTTTGTTCCTTTTCTGCTGACTGCAGAGTTAAGGGGGAAAGAGGACACCAGGCAAGAGCTATGGAACTGTGAGCAGGAGTACTTCAGCTTTTTACCAGTTAATATGTGCTGCAATAAGCTGTAAAACAGGTTAGAAAAATGTAGTTGGATCTGTAATGAACAAAGGAAATATGGTGATGAATTATAAGGAACATGCAGAATAGAAATACGGAACAGGAATGGAATGACCAACAGTGATGAGAAACAGAGGTCTTCGATGATGAATACAATGCTGTAAGTAACAGACTTGGGAGAATGCAGTTGCCTTTGCAGCAGCACAGATGACACAGTGAACTGTAATTTTTGCTCTATGTTGAATTTGTGGGTTCAGGAAATAAGGCATAAATCAGTATGGGAGTACATCAACAGAGTAATGAAAAAAATTACAAGTTTACTGAAACAGATGGGGTGAAGAAAATTAGAGAGACCATCTATCCTGATAAATAAAAAAATCATGAGATCTCATCACAATTTATTTTTGGGCCTCATGAAGAAAAGCAATATTGCCTGAAAGAACAGCAAGCCATAAAAATGAATACAATACACACTCTTACTAAACTGTAAGGGAAAAAACGGATAGGCTCAGACCTTTGCGTTCTGCATTTAAATTCTGGAAAATATTGTGCATACTGAAATATAAACAATAGAGAGAACCAGGCTAAGATTAAGATGTATATTTAGACATCATCACAAATAACTTTTTTTTTAAACCCCAACATACAAGATAATAAAATAAAGCAAGTGAACTTGAAATAATAATAGTAATATTAAAAAGCAGGTGTTTTCTCTGGCAGTGACTAAGAAGACCAAAAGTCTTCTTAAATCAAAAGTCACACTTGTAGTTTTATCAAAATAAAGATTAATAATTTTCTGCTCCAGAGAATTTATTCTCAACTACATGCATAATGCTAACAAGTTCTGACAGTTTGTAGGTTAAATTCATAAATTTATATTGGACAGGGAAAAGTACTAGAAAATTTATCTTAGGAAAGAACCCTATTTTAGCAGAAAGGTAGTCAATATGATGATAGAATTTATTTCTACTGTTCTGATTCTGTCACTCATTAAAGAAGTGATACTCATATTGAAGAATAAGTAAATTCAAATCACTTCCTGATTTTTTCTTTCTGAGGATATTTTCATAATCTAGAAAGGGAAAAAGCCCAACCTAAATATGGTTTCAGAAAATTAACTTACCTCATAAAGATCCAATGTAGCCCTTGGAGTTTTAAGGATGCACAATATAACCCAGCACAAACATTTCTCGGAAACCAGGAAAATATTTTAAAGTCAACTTGTTAAGTAATATGATCTAGATATGTCTTAAATCTGAAAATGGGAATTAAACCACAGTTTTTAGCCACATATTGCCCCTCTGTAATCAGAAAATATGTGTATTGTATTTTGAGTGGCTTGGGACTAGATCCTGTACCCATAATTTTCCAAGAATGCATTTTCAAGAGGGCACAGGACTTAGCTGAGTGCCCAAACAGAAGCTGTGATTAATTAAGACAAAAGGAGGCAAACTGGAAAATTGTGCCCACAAAGTCACTAAAGACTGAGCTAGATCTAAGGTGAAGAGGCAAGAAAAAGGAAGAAATGGGTGGATTCCTACTTGCTGAAGTCAGAGAGATGGGATTTGTTTTGAAATGAATGCTGGCTATTAAAGTGTCAGCATTAGCTATCTGTGTTCATGGCATCAAATCTAATCTTCCTAGACAAAGTGCGACAAAAGACTGAGTGAATAAATAAAATTTTAGTGAAGAAATATACACAAGCTTCAATAATTTTTGTCTTTCAAACTGAGAAAAAAAGAGTAAAAATATATGGCCAAATCTTGTAAACCTTTGCCATAGGTTTTTTCAGATTCTGCAACAAAATCTTTACATGACCTGCCTAGTACATCCTTTGGTGTTTCTTTGAAGTCTTACTCTTCTGTATGCAGCCTACATCAGACAATAAATAAAAAATGATGGAACTGCCAATGCTTTGTAGTTAATTTGAATTCAGTAGCCCAAACAGCCCTATCCCCAAAGTGTCTGTAGTACACCAAAACAATTCTGGCAGTAATACATTAATATTAAATTAATTACTGCATCACACCAAGGAGCTTCCACTCACTAGTTGGTTCCTGAGTAACCATTTTTTGAAAACCTAAAATCAGTCAATTCATGGCATGACCAGTGAAACGAGGAAACCCTTTCATAAGAAAGAAAGAGCATGTGGCTCTTAACAGGAATGTAATTAACATGCACAACAGACATCTCTTTAAACTGTATATTTTGTATTGTATTCTGTCCAGTCAGTTAATGTACTCATCCAAGATCAAACTATAAATCCTAAATCTAAGTACATAAAGTTCAAGCTTGCAATAGAATTGGCATCTGATTCAAAAGATTTACAATATTTTGATCAAAAATGTAGTTATAAGTTCAGCATTTCACATATTAAGATGATGCACTTACAGAAATTATTTGGAAATTAGGCAACAGAATTTAGCTTGATATTGCAGTGTATGAAGGAGTCTTTGTCATTCTATCATTTAAATTATTTTAAAAAATCTTTTTCATTCTATATTTTAAAATATTTTGAAAATAAGCAATAACATAGTAATTGAGCTGTTTGCCTCATGTTTTTAGTTTCAGTGCTAATTTTGTATAAAGACTCTTAATAAAACCTATGTGCCACTATTATGAACAAACAGTGGACTTTTTTGTAATCAATGCAAATTTTGACCTGAGTGAAACAAAAAATATTCAAGCTTTGCACATACGTAAACAGACACTGAATGTTCCTTTTCTTAGGGGAAACCATAAATTTTGAGGTGATATTGAACATTGTAATGTTCAATATCACCCTAGAAAGGGTGTGTATTTGGATGTATTAATGAATGCTCTGAGTTGGTTTTTTTAATGTCTACATGAAACCCCAAAAGATTAGCTCTAAAATATGTATAGAGGCTGAAGCAAACAAAGGAATTAAAGGAACATGTTATTTAACACAATACATTTTAAGAGTGGACAAATTAATTTCATTGTCAAAAATATTTCATTCTGATATTTTTTAGATATGTCACACTGGAGGGAAAATGTACAGGGAAATATAGTAAACTATAGAGGTAGCTGGGGAAAAAAGGGTGATAGCAAAATGTGAAGGTCTGAGGGTTTTTTTTCAAGAATAGCAGCAAAACCACACAAGGATTTTGCAACACAACCACAAAAGACCCAGTTTTGCAAAGCAAGTTTCTTACATTGCGGTTCATTTTGCAGTGTTGTATTTTGTCAGAAACATGTGGAAAGAGAAATATATCTATACACAAATAAGGGGCAAATACAAGTATGTGCTTCCATTTTCAGGTGCCGAGTAAAACTTGATGACACTTTTCTTTTCCCTTGTAAAGTTAGATCTCACATGCATTATTACCTCACTGTTTTTCTTCTTCACCTTCACTTTTCCTTTTCCATTTGCAAAACACAAGCTGATGCTGCGCTGTGCAGCTCAATTGAAATGTGACAAACTATGTGCAGGGAAAACAAAATTTATTAAGTTACTTAACCTATGTGTAAACACAGAAGTACCACAGGCTCAAGGCCAGTGTACTAGATTTGTTCTCCATATGCAAAGTTCCTTCCATACGTAGGTATTTAACCATGATCTCACATGCTATAAAGAATTCATTTCACTGGCTTGCTATGCTTGCAACTCTCCTATCACACTTTATTAAACATTCTTATTCTTGCTTTGCCAGCCCAAAGGCTGCCTGAGGCAAAGCAATTGGTTTTTTGAGTGGGAGGTGTTTTGGAGTGGACAAAGAAAAAAAAATGTAGCAAAAGTACCAGTCTTTGGATTTTGAGAATTTGAAGTGAAGAACGTGTCCAGAGAGACATGCCAAAGTTGCCTTTCACTCTCTAGATACATGTGCAAATTACCTTATATCTAATTAATATAATTTTCACATGAAATGACAACCACAGGAGAAAATTATTGTTAAAGTCTAGCTCTGGTGCTTTTGACTGAGATACTGTACCTTCTCTGAAGGCAATTCGTAAGTCTGAACAGACACCAGAAATATTTTAAAACATTTATATAGTAAAATTGCCCTTTTTAATCATTTTTCAAGCTGTACAGAGTAGACACACAATTTACAGAGCAATTCAGAACCTTAAAAAAAATCAGGAAAGTTTTTTTTTTGGAATATGTTCAAAGGGGTTTGATCTCAGAAGAGAAAAGAACTTGTTTCAAATGCATTAAAAATACAAGGGATAAGGGAATAGCTTTCTTTCAAAGCATTTGAATGACCTCATTTATGATATCATCAGCACACCAAGGTGGAAATATTTCTTCATATCACCACTGTTCTTTATTGTTGCTCATAATGTGTATTTTGATTATGCCTTGGCTGCAGTACTTAACACCAGTCATCTCTACAAGATGACAATATTCCTATATGTAAGTATAGTCTCCATGGAAACACCACAAAAAGGGGGCTGTTCACATTTTATATTAAGAATCATTTATGAAAAGGTTTTTAAGTCATGAAAAAAAAGAACCATTTTGATAGTCTAATAAGCCAAATGATCACTCATAAAAATAGCTATGACACTTTTACGCATATCCCTACAAGATAAATGGATAAATTATTTGTGTTTTTTACATGCTCCTAATTTTTGTTAATAAAATGGTCCTGTAAAAAACTTAACAAATGTATAATCCATATGAAAAGCTATCAGATTTGTAAAATACTATGAGAAAAAACATTCTAAAAAGCAACATCTTCTAATCAAGATTTCACATTAACAAGTTTTCCAAATAATAGGAAAAAATAAAGCATGTAGTAGGGCACAAAGACATAATCATTGCTTTTAAATGAGATGTTCTAATTTATTGGCTGATTAGCTGAAGTCTCACTATCAGTGCAATGTAGATATCACTTCAGCAAATAAATACAGTTTTATTATGAGCAAATATCATTTTGACAGGCACTGTTGTAACACTAATAATGCCAAGAGATTATTCTCACAGCACCGAAACTCAGGGCTTGCTGGAATAAGTTACCACCAAGAATATATTTGTGACTTCTGTGTAATAAGATTATACATCTTTGCTCTTTAAGGTTTCAGACAAAAATCTGTACTTCCCAAGGGCTGTAACCATGTCACTGGTGGTGGTGGTGCATCACCTCATGGCCTTGACCAAACCAGCCAGGTGGGGACCAGACCAGGCGCTTTCACGTGATACAGGTGGGAAAACACTGTAAAGCAACATCCACTGTGGGGCTGGGGTGGGGAACAAGGGGTGATCAGTCATCCCCTGACAGCCTTGGAACATTCTCTACCTGAGCTGGAGCCCAAGTAGAATACCACCATTGTTGCCGAAGTTTTGGAAACAATTTCCAAATGTTTTGGAAATTCCTGCAGTTGCCAGCACGGGTTATGGCCAGGATGGAAACAAACTGATGAATAAATCAAATCAGCTGGTGACCCTGCACATGCCAGCCCCAAGTGAGGCCTTCTGAGCTCTTCAGGGCCACAGTGGGCTGTGCTGGCTGGTGTCCCTCTCTGTGGGGCACCTCCCAGAGCTCGAGAGCCCTCAAGTCTGCAATACTCGAAAGACCATCACAGCAAGCCCTGGGCTGATACACACACATGCACACAGACTCCTTGAGGTGCAGCCTTGCCTGGTCAGAAACACTCAGGAATTTGCTATGAATATTTCCCTGAAGCCAGGGGGAATTTTTGATAAGTACCTTTACACTCACAGACAGACATGCACTTATCTCTGCCTGTGTGCATGTGAACTTATTAGGGTGTGAATGTTATTATCATGAAACTGTAATTAAGTAATGGATATATTTATTAAAAATCCCATTGAATCATTTCATAAATGTTAAATTACTCAATGATGAATTTCTGGTAAACCCTTTTGCACATCTTATTTTTTTGTGTTCATACCCTTTGAGCCCTTACCCGTATTCATCTTTAGTCTCCATGTAATTAATCTAAATTTATACTAATATAATTTTCCTATGAATGCTTCATCCTTGGAGTAAGTGAGTGAACCTTGCTGCTGAACTCTGTTAAAGTTATACTTTCATAACTTCATATTAAGCTTATACCTGCTTTTTACCAATATCACTGATGGTGATTCTTTAGGCAATCTAACCACTCATTTGCAACAATACTGCATGAAATGCAGCATGCATTTTATAAAAATTACCTTAAAGTTGTGTGCTTGCTGTGTTTATGGCAAAGTAGCAACATGTCATAAAATAATAAACATACCTAGAGTAATTTTTGCATAGGAGATGCACAAATAATGGGTCATTTTCCTTTTACCACAATGATGGTCAGATTTCAGCAGCATTTGAAGAAAATATGTTTAAATTTATTTTCCTTCCACATTCTGACCCAGAGAGAGATTACCCTCTCTGTATGAGTGCATAACGGCTCAGGATAATAAAAGGGATTATTGACACCTTAAGAAACACATTTAAAATTAATTACTGTACCCATCCCTGCTAGTTCTCTATCAGGTTTTCCAATTCTCTTCTTACAAACAGTTAAAGTAAGATGAACGTTCATCCTCTATTCATTCACACGTGCATAACAAATTCCATACTCTTACACAGAGACAAATAGTGCATATAATAGAATTTTATCTAATGAAATTTTAATGAAATATCTCTTTCACTGAACTCACATGAAAAAATGCCAGTGGTCCTGATATATATGGCATTTTCATTCCCAGCAGATACTTCACTTGTGAAGTCACGACGTGTGTAGCTGCTCCAGTTGTCATGGCACTTATGACGGGTTCTGTTAACAAGAAAGTGGCACTGCCCAGCTGCAGCACAAACATTGCTACCTAAAAGGCAAAAGCAGGAGGATCAGCAGCTTCTTGGTGATAGAACAGTGAGTCAGAGTCCTTTTAATAAGTTATAAGATAAATGAGCTAAAGATACACAGCCAACAAATTTGGCAGACAAATCTATCTGAAAATGGAATGCACTGAAGTTCTGTGGATTTACCTACAGTATACTCACTAGTTTACCGACTCTAACACTGGTTTAGTAAAAAAAACAGACACAAAGAAACTCTAAATACTCACACCTGCTCAAATATGTGAACACAATAAACACCATAAAAACATCAACTCAACACTGCAACAAGTACAGCAGCTCAAAAAGTGAGGCTGATTCTAAGGCTTATTCCTGCTCCATTGCTATGCAGCCTAAATGGGCCAAGAGCCACATCTTGGTCCAGCTTACTGATTGGCATAATGTCACTATCAGGATTCCCAACATTAGTAATCTCAACAGATACCAAATTTATGAGGTGCTATAAAGACTCTTGTGTTGAGACCTCTAATCCAGAAATTTAAGCTACAGCAGGATCTAAAGCTATTGTAGGTACTGTTGTGTTCAACAGTTTTCTCCCCTTATCCTGGGCTTCAAACATTCTTTCCCTCCAAAGTATGAGATTTGACTACTCTTAATTCTTTGAACAAAGTTGTTGCATAACTACAGCTGCTACTGTGCTTTACATATCACTTAATGCTTTTCTGATCCTCATTAAATTACATTGACATTATCTCTTCTCACAATGAGTTTTGCAGTTTCTTCTATGGTCTTTTGCATTTGCTGTTCTTCTCCCTGAAAAGTTACATGCTCTTGGCACAGAGTTGTTTGTTACAATACTTTCTAAGAACTTTATTTTGTGTTTACCATATTAAATATTATTTTTGAATATGTCACAGTCTCCCTTGCTTTTTTTTTTTTGTTGATTTTTGTTTGTTTTTGGGTTTTTTTGTTTTTTGTTTTTTGTTTGGTTTGGTTTGCTTTTGGTTTTGGGTTTGGGTTTTTTTTTTCCTGAAGCTAAAACTATTCGTTTCAGATGTTATAATTATTTATGCCTGAACACCATTCATGTTCTCACCATAAAACTCAACCTGTATGCAGTGAGCTTTGGGCATAGTACAACAAAACAAACAAAAATATCAAAATAAGTGTCTTTTAATTTACCACAAAACCTCTAGTGAGTAATATCCTCTTCCATTTGGGAGATTAAATCTGAGATTTTTCTTCTACTTCCCACTAATAGCATGTAAATTGCTCCTTACTATGAGCAATTGAAACATTGATTGCCATTCAAGATTGGACTCCAATAATGATAATTACTGTATACCCTCGGTGAGTAGCAATTTTTTTAGTCAGGCCTAAAACTGATAATTACTAATTTCAGATATTTTGTTTAGCTGTTTGTTGTAACAGTGTGTCTACTAATACATTTAAAACATTGTTCACAGTAGCAAAGTTCAATAAGAATTAAATTCTCCCTTCCCTTGTGAATTTTTGTTTGTTTTCTGAAATTGGTTTCTTTTGTCTGAATGTGACATTTCTAACTGTGTAACAGCTTCATTTCCAGGAAATTGGATGTTTATTTAGGCATGGAATCAAAACCACAGAGACAGTTCTGTGTACTACATAATATCACAGAGAAGTATTAGTTACTATTAGCATTTCAGAGAAAGTTATTATTGTGAGTTACAGCAAAATGATTGCTAGGCTTAAAAATTTCAGCATCACTTTCAGATCTACTTTTTGGTTTTTTACTTTTTTTTCTTTTAATCTTCAGCATTTTAAGAGGATGCTTCACAGGTACTAACTAAAAGAACACATTTCAAATACAGTTTTTTATTGACTGCACGTAACCGTAAGCAATGTAAAATTCTTGCAAACCATGAGTATGGTTCCAGTTAGACAATTTCTGCAGCCACTCAATTAAACAAGCAGCAGCCTATACTTGGTCCCCTCTCCTTACTCCAGAAGGTAGCTCAGGACACCCAGAAAGAAAGGCAGTACTTCATGAGCATGAACATCCTACTCTTTATTTACATGATAGTTAAATAAATATGATGTGCACCCATACATCTTCCATGGAGAAGATCTAAAAATGAAGCAACCAGAAGAGGAAAGATTGTGGGTGGAGGGTGTAATTCCCAGCATATACTGGTATGGAAACCTCATGTTGTCTTTGCAACGTGAGTAATGTACAAAAACTTAATGGATCACAAGGAGGAAAAAAGTTTTGAAACAAACCTCCCAAATCTATTTGCATGTGAGTTTTCTTGACAGATAAAATTATTAGCATTTACTCAGGCCCAGACTGACTCTAAAATTAACCCTCCATGCTGGGAAACAGCCAGCTTGGCTGCCAGTGCATTTTGAATAAACACCATTTGAAACTTAGCTAAGCTGACAGCACTCAATTGCATTACATTGCATTATGTCATAAAATCTTTCACCCAGTAACACTGACCAAACTGTAGAAAGTTCAGTATTCTTAAAGAAGTGTCTAACAATCTGCTTTATCTTGGCTATTGGTTGTGATGCTCATTTTTGCATCTACTTTATTTTCTGGTAAATTTTATGATTTCTTTTCACTCCTGATGCAAACTACAGAGAAAAGTGACAGTAAAGTGCTAGAACAGCAAAAACAGAATAAAAACAAATATTTTTGTCTTTTTATTATTTGTCGTCATACTGAGATTTTCTTAAACTGTAAAAGAAACTAAATTTTCACATATTTTAGAATTGTACCCAGAATTTTTAATTTTTAAGAATTTGGTTCCTAAAGGATAAAAGCATACTTCAGGGAAAGAATATGCACAGTATAAAAATTGTTTGAAAGGCACTTGGCTCTTGTTTATTTGTGTGGCATTTTCAGTACATAATACCATGTAAAAAGGTTCATTAAGAAGTAACTTTCTTGAGATAAATTTTGCTTTCGCCAGGTATACATTCTTGAATAAATTCATGTAAATGAAATCAAGACCTTTCAGGGAAAAGAAAAAGCAATACATGAGAAAGTTAGGGAAAGCAGCCTTGAATTAATGCACAGTAAAGGAGAAAAGATCACAGAAATGAGGTATACAATGAAGTGATTAGAAGAAGTGGTGGAAGATGTGATTTCTAAAAAAAAAAAAAATTGATAAAAAGGAGTACATTTCCAAATGGAAGAAAGACAATACAAAGGGAATCTTTTTTTTCAGCTGTCTTTACTACTCCATAATTTTACTCTGACAAATAGAAGAGAATGGGAATTTAGCCAGGAGAAGAAAAATGAACAATTGCAAAAAGCAAAGCCCTCTATGTTCATTATTCAGAACCTTTGGTTCTTGTCCACTTTCAATACTTTCTTCCCATGACAACATGTTCAGTCTATTATTATTATTATTAAAATTCCATTCAACGTGTAGTCAATTTAACTTCTTGGCCAGTAAAAATTTTTATCACTTAACAGCTCTTTGGAAATCACTAATGTCAAATTTTCTGTCCCCAGAAACTGAAAGACTGATATTGTGTTAGCTGCTGCACAGATTCAGCTTTGGAAAATGAATTTTAAATCCCTCAAAACTCCACTGTACTGGAAGAGGTTTTCCACTGTTGTATAAGACAAAGTGGTGGGGCCCTTTCTGATCATTTGCTGCATGGGCTGGGTAGATGAGACCAGACACAGGAACATCTCTTGGAGGGAACCAGCACAGACTGTGAGACTGTCATTTAGTGCATTATATTGGTTATCGCAGGTAGCAAAAGTGAAGAAATCTATGGACCCTTATCCATAGATAAGACAACAGTCAGACACAGTTCAGCTCAGCTGGGTTGCCAATTTAAAACTCTCCATGGCCTGTTTCAATAGACATCTAAATGGTAGACCACTATTTTTTGATTTTCTGAGCTGCAGCACCTATGTTCATTCTGGATGTCTTGAGAGTGTCTGGTAGCTTCTGATGGTGTGCAGAGTGAACTTTCCTCATTCCAGGACCTGAAAAAGTTTTTTCTGTGGTCCTTCTGTACTAACACATAGAATGCTCTACCGTAATTGTGGGAACCAGAACTCCCACCCAGCCTACTTGTAGTTTTCAAAATACAGAATATGAGCCTGTAATAAGGTATTTCCACTGTAAAAGAAAAATGAACTTTTCCCCTGATTATCACCGTATAGTAGACTCATGTTTTCACCTCATGCAGAGCAATGTGTAACAGAAATACTACAGCATCGTTTTTCCCACAGGTTAATGGAGACTGGGACAAGAATATTGCCTTACAAAAACACCCTTCTTATTCAAATGTGCTCCTTTGTTATTAAGCAGATTGATAATGGACTGTGTAAATTTGTTCTCTTGAAAACCAAAAACATTTCTATATCCAACACTGTATATCAGCAACTAATTACATGTTAGTTTTTAAAATACAGTAGATGAAAAACTTACTAATAAAAATTTTACGAGACTGGAATGCAATAAGCAGCTATTTATCCCCTACAGAAGAATAGCCCAACTGAAGTCTACAACACAGTGGTCTACAGAGAATTATGGGTTTTTTTCCCTAGGGTATTTTAGTTTGATCTGCAAGAAGCTTTCCTCTATTTATTCAGCAAATCTTAATCTTGAATTTCAGTTTAGTATGCTGAGATTATTTTAGAGACATATATTTATGGAAGCATTCATGGAAGCATTTCTAGGGGAAGAAAAATCTTACCCAAAAGCTCTTTTGAGGATTTATTTAATGTTATAAAGGCAGCATCCTATTTTAATTACAAAATGACTCAATAGATTTCTGCTATGTTCTATCATTTCTTTCCCCATCAATACCTCTGAGGTATTTGATATCAGGGAAGATTTCCATTAGTTTGATTTGTTTTCCATGCCCTGTTTATCTTTACAGAGTAGCAGCTATATAAACATAAGAAATTCTTTGTTATGCCTTCCATTCTGCTTTTTAAAATGAAATAATGAATGCATTATATTAAATGGTTTTGGTAATTACAGTTTTTATTTTATGTTTACTTATTTTCTATTTTAATACTATTTTCATGTCATCAGAACACCTCTTAATATAACTAAATATCTTTTCTCTTTTATGAACACTTCCTCAAATATTAGATTTCAGAAGTAGTTTAGGACTCTGAAACATTTCTTTGAGAAAAACTTAAGCGGTTAAGCCCCAAATTTCAATTGTGACAATCTCTACCTATCCTTGTTTTATGATCAGAAAACAATGCTGATTTATTTCATGCCGAGATGGCTCTGAAATTCACAGAGCCTGCTCAGAGTTTGCCTCACAACAGAAATACACAGTTGTGGTCTGCAATAAACACCGACTAGCCAACAGCAGTTCATCTCAGAAACATCTCCCCCCTTCTCCCCGCCTTCCCTCCATTACTGACTATTTTGTATGTTTTCCCTTTTATTTTAATATTATCTGCTGATTGGAGTATTTAGCCAGGCTACTGGAAAAATAGCATCAAATTGCTTTTTAGGCTAAGGGTGTTCAGCTCTTTACCTACTCTTTCCAAGAAGGAAACAGCTGTTTTGGCAAGAATTTTTCATCCTTCGTCTGGAGGGTGCCCAAGGTAGGGATTAATCACAGCATCTGTTGTTTTTGTGCAATTAGTGGCTGATTAGAGAAATGAATTTTGACTGTTTTTCAGAAAAATTTAAGTCTTATAGTAGATAACATAAGCCAGGTCTGCTCCCTTCCTAGAGCTGCACCATCACAGATACCAACTACACAGAAAATACAACTTCTTTTTGTATTTCAGGATGTCTTCAATGAAGAGCTGTTGCCTCAAAATGTATCATACAATTCTTGTTCCAGAACATACATTAATTTCAGGCTATTAGTTAGTTTCTATTCTAATCTGATAAATAGAAGAAAGTGACTGATTTAGCTCTACATTAAAGCAAGATGTGTCTTGCCACCTTATCTGGGGTTTGCAGCAACTGTTAGCTGGGAAACTGGAATCTTGATGAGAGACGTAGATTCCCACACTTAGCACCTGGGAAGATGGCAAAGTTTAATCTCAGCCTTGATCAGGCTTTCACCTGCATATTGCAGTATTAGTAGCTTCAAGGCACTTCTTTAGGAAATAAGTGTTTTTCTCTGTCCTCCAACCATTAAACTCACATAAAGGACTAGTGGCAGCCTGGCAAGCACCAGATGTGTTAGTATGATTCTAATGCAAGTGACATTATTGACCTGGGAGAGGAGCCCATGCACATGGCATGGTTCCCTGCCAGACCTGCTCTGAAGATGCAGAGAGGATTTACCAGTTCTTCTCATTCCAGTCAGGATTAAAGAGGACATAGGCTGAGATAAATCAGCTGATGCAGTGGAAGGCATATGAAAAAGCAGAACTTTTCAGGATGAAAGAGTAAGAGGTCTGGAGGACTCACACACCTAATGGGATTCTGCAGCCACCAAGCAAAATAATTTCTGAACTGGATTTTGAAGTTACATCAAATGAATGCAGGCACCAACTTCCCACATGAGACATTTTGGCCTGAGAGAGAGATGCAGGAGATTTCCAAGCTGTGAGCACTGGACTCCTGCATGAAGAGCTCCATTCATGCTCTGCTGTTGTGAGCACCCTGCATAAGATGCAGTGCTGGGCTGCACATGCGGATGCATTGGGACAGCATGTGCAGGCACAGCCAGGCACAATCTGCATCAGCTCTGCTTTCTGTGCTGTCTGCAGGCTGTAATAATCCAATAACAGAATCCTCATCATAAACCAATAGAAGAATTATAAAAATGCAGCAAAAATAACAATGCTTCTTGATATTTTCTACTGACTGACATAAGTACACGCCCCAGTTCCTGCCAAGCACGTAGACTATTGAAGATCCCATTCTGGGCCCCTTTGTTCATCCTCTGCATGGGAGAGGGATCCAAAGCACCAAGTGGAGGGGTCTGAGTTTGTTTCAGGAGTCCAGCTACCTAGGTGTTGCAATGTCAAACCCTGGCACATTACTTCTATTTTAATATTTACAAGGAAAAGGGAAGCCTTCATTGAAGACCTAAGCAACTGGCAATGGATAAAGAAACTTCACCCTTTTGGCCAGAATAAGAGAAAAGAAGAAATTTAAAAGACCTCTGATCATTTAAATAAACTTTAGAGAATCATTTGAAGACATCTGTTTTACTATTTCACTTTAATGATGGGTGTGTGAACTCTAAAGAGAATTTAAAGTTTTCCCTACTGTTTTTAATTATTGGATATTGTATAGTATTGCTTTTCAAGCCAAGGGCAACAGAAAGCCTCAGGAATATGTCAATGCTTACCAGGAGCTGATTCATATTTGTTTCTGAAGACAGAAAGGGGACACCAACTGCAAGCAAGTATTGTAGTAGAGCTGACTGAGTGTGCTTTTGCTTCATATTGTAAAACACTGGAAGCATGTGTACAGATAATTACTACAAAGGAACAGCAAATTCTTAAAGCACATTAATTTCATCATTTATGACCATTGAAGCAGATGTTTTTATTAGTTTTTCTCAGAGAAGTAAAAAAAGTATTACAAATGTCATAGCTGTCACAAAGGCAGTACATCAGTAGTATACAGAAAATGTGATCACCACCAACCTGAATGATTCCTCCTAGAAATGAAACTGCTGCTGCAACTCCAATCCTCTGCATTTCAAATTCTGACAAACCCAAAATTCCTGAATTATTGTTTGCAGTGAAATTAGTTGTGACTGAAGGAACAAGGCGCTCAACTGCATTGGCAGATATTAAGGAAGTTAGAGCAAAAGTTCCTGTAAAAAAAGCCACATGTTAATTACCAATAATTGTAGATCTGTACTCATCACTCATAGTCTCTTTTTCAAAATGGCTGTTATTATTAAAAGTGACATTTTTTTACATTCCTGTCATCATAAGAACAATTTTAAGGTATTTTTTCTATGTAACATACCTTTCTTCCCATAAAATACCATTCATACAGGCAAATTAAATGTAAATCTTTTTTTTAGCACATTCGTTAAGACAGGTTTACAAAAGAGATTCAAATACAACAATTTGCAATGATTTCAAGTTATCAAAAATGCTTTTAACTCACCCTGGATGCGATCCATTAGCTATCTGTCTGAGATTCCCAAGTGTTCACCATTCAAATTTCTAGGGCAATTAATTCATACTATGTATATATAGTACCTAGTCCATTAAATAGTACCTAGCTCTCTCAATAAATGGAGGCAAATTATGAGAAAAACATTTATTTGCTGAGAGAGGTAAAGCACATTTAATGACACAAAGATAAATGAGGATGACAATTCAACATTAAAAGACACAAACATGCAGAGCTATTAGAGCATAAGAACATCTTGCTATGTCAGACCAATGACCCATCCTGCCCAGTACTCTGCCTCCAGCTGTGATAGTCAGAGGTGTTACCTGGGGAAAGCACACAAGCCTGGACATTGTCTGTGGGCATCCACAGCTGTTGTGTTAGAGAACTACTTCCTAAGCTGGCTTTTTTTTTTTTTTTTTTTTTTTTGTGGACTAGTATTCATGAATTTGTCAAAGGTTTGTCTGAACCTGTTTGTAATTTCTCCTTCCACAATGTCCTCTGAGAACAGGTTGCAGAAGTTCAGCATCTGCTGTATTGTTTTCTTTTATCTACACCGTTAAAGTATTTTAAAACAATTTCTCTCTGAACTCACCTTTTTTCTACTGCTCCAAGACCTGGTGCACACAATCCTGCCCTCACCTTGGCCTTCACAGAGTAAAGCTCACAGCATGAATTCCTCAGGAACCCACCAGGGATACCACCACACTGAAAGTGACCAAGAGGTCCAGCCTTTTGCTTCATATCTTTCAAACTGCTAATAATTAATAAAAGGACATTTCTTCTATCACAAGGACAACTTGTTTTCTTTAGTAACCTTTGGTGTAGAACCTTATCAGTAGCTGTTTGACCATTCTGATATCTTTTATTCAAAGTGTATCCCTTCTCCACACACTTGTTGACATTCATACAGTAATCTAGAAGGTTGTGAGGTAGGATTTTCCTTTACAGAAGTCAAATTAACTCCTCACCAACAGGGTCTGATTATTCATAGCTTTTTTTGTCCCATCCCTGGAAGTGTTCAAGGCCAGGCTGGATGGGGCCCTGAGAAACTTGACCTAGTGGAAGGTGTTTCTGATTATGGCAGAGGGGTTGGAATTAGAAGACCTTTAAGGTTCCTTTCAAACTTGGACAAGATGTTTGCATAAAATTTAATTTGAAAACAGCTTACATGAAATTCTATCTTAAATCAAAGTGTTTGTGTTATTTATGGCAGATAAAGCTGTCTCAGAGAATGGTTCAAAATCATTTATGTGAACAAAAGTCAAGAAAAGGTGTATGTGTTTGTTGCTCAGGTGAGAAAGCTCTTCAAGTAGATCAGCTTTTTCAAAGAAAAGGCATTACAGGACAATAAAAGTTAACTGAACAGAGCCATTGGTGGCTTTTCCATTTCATACTAACATGACTGCCTTCACTAGTTCATGCCTTCACTAACAAACAACTTTACAGCCTGTGTACATATGGAGAACCCCACAGATCTTACAGAAAATTCTGGTAAGTGAAGAGGCTGTCTCCAATGTCCATAAGGAATTATGGAGCAGTTGAGGCAGGCAGCATGGCTCCTATGCACTCAGCTACACACCACAATGCCTTAACTGAGGCTGAAACAAGAACTGCATGAGACCTTCCTTCTGAAAATATCAACAATATATGTCACTCAAATTTATTAATTTAAAAAGATCGCATGTGTGCAAGAAAACTCTTTTGTTGTTTTTTTTTTATTGAGATAAAATTTTGAAATAGAATTATTAATGGAAAGAGTTTCCACAACAAGGACCATGCAGAAATCTGCAGAACTGTGGAACTCAGCAAGGCATTCTCTGAACACTATTCCCTCCCAAGGATAAAACATCAGACTTAACAGCATACTTACCTATTTTATCAATTGGTTTTCATTACTAGAACTTATGGCAGCCAGATGCTTACTTATCTTTCCTACATATGATGGATTCTTGTCTTCCTAATAATCATACAACAAACTTCTGACAATACACTGCTAATTTTTTTTGTTTTGCAACAGCTTTTTAATATAGACTAAAGTTTTAATCTATCTTTTCTATATTCAAAATTTTCATCTTTTCTTGCAATGCTTCCCTTTTAACATGAGTTGTATATAGTCATTACAACATTAGGACAATAACAGGATCTACAGATCCTTTTCAGACATCAAAAGACTCAAATACTTTCTGTAAATCTAGAGAAAACAAACTTTTAGCTTTCCTTTTTCTCTAAGACTATTTATAGCTGCTCAGATTTGCATTTTTTAAAAATGTAACTGAATATTTTTGATCAAAAAGGGTGCTCAAAATGTGTTGCTAACTTCTTAGTAGAACATTGCATACACTAGTGCAATCAGACTCTGCAGAGTTCATTTTGAGTGTGATTACCCAGAATCTCTTTCAGGAGATTTTCTCCTCTTCAAGGAAGAGATGCATCCTCCCTGCTTAAATCTTCTGACAGCCTCAGGGGCTGCTTCCCTTCATCCAGCTGTGCTGTGTGTTGCCACTGGGCCTATCTCACCCTTCTTGCAAACTTCAGGGGCTATCAAGTGCCCACTTCTGAACAACAAAATATTTGTGGTTCAATCTAATGAGTATTATTTCCAGCTGCCCTCTATAATTTTATTTCTTTGGGCTCAGAAACAGAGTATTAGGACAGAGTATCAACCTATTAGGAGCACAAAGCCATTCAATTCTTCAGCTGCTGAAGGGTAAACAAGTAACTCATAACTACCAGCAGAGTAACCAAGCAGCATCTTTCCCTATCTACCCAACTACTCTGCAAGAGGATGAGTCCTTAGTGGGAGAATCTCTAGCTTTAATACAATAGCAAGTAATGGGCTCAGGAGGTCGTTTGTGTTTTTCTTTTCCTGAGAAATGCAACATTGGTGTTTTAGACAGGTGAGAAGTAATGTATGTTTTCTATGGTTTACGAGGCAGTTGAACATTTTTCATTTCCATTTACATACATCTTGTTGACAGAGTCCTTTGTTAAACTCTTAGCCTGAAGCAGATTTCTAAAGCAGAGTTAAAATAAAAAAAGCTCTTACTAAATTACATTTACAAAGGAAGTGTCAGTGCAATATTAAATTATAATGGCAGGAGTAACCCCAATATATTCTTAATGAGGCTTTTTAAAGTACTTAAACTGACAAAAAGTTGCTGTAAAGACAAGCACAAAACCATCTTTTTTCTGTTTAATCATAGATAACTTTCCTTCCATCAGCCTTTAAACATGAATATATTTCAGCATTCAGTTCCCTATTTTTGAAAACTACTTTAGCATACAGACCCTTACCTGTTGCAACATGACGTCCCATTCCAAATATGGCATAAATAATGACAGGGAAAAAAGATCCATATAAACCAAAAACTGGATGGACTGAAGACAGAACAGCAAAGGCCAGCCCTATAGAAAATTAAAGATAATTACTTCACTATATGAAGATAAAACTGTTCTACTTGTGTTGTTTTTTATTTTTATGAGGAAATGTGTACAATTTTATTAAGAGCAGGAAAAAACTCACCTTCCTTTACTAAACTCACCTTCCTTTACTAGAGTGCAAATGAGCTACTGTACAATAAGAATCAGAAATAACTGTAGAAGGTTTTCCATTTCATCATCAAAATCCACATATCCTACCATGATTCCAAGTTGTCTCCATTAGTGGTTTCAAGCCTCTTTTAATAGCCATGCCTCACAGGAGGAGGCAGCATTGTTTCACCCTCACAAACATGGCTTTGAGACTGCCAGGTCTCCAGGCAGTGGGATGGTTATTTTTTAAAAATATTTCAAAACCTGTAATTTTGGTTTGGATGGAGCCCCTTCAGTCTAATTTCTTAAATAAAAAATATATTCCAGAGTTCATCCTCTTTAGGTGTCTGGGGTTCATAAGCCTTTAAACATTAACATTTCTTTCATCATGTAAAGCTGTCAGTTCACAAACAGAAAGTATTTGACTTTCATGTTGAGATGAAGAATGAACAGAATTCGTTCAGGTTTAACTTTATAGACTCACTAATTACCTTCATTGCTTAGCATCCACCCTTTTCTCAGAAGTCTTGGACAAGAACTCATCTTTCAACAGAAACATTCCTGCAAAGCATCAGATTTGGTTGCTTTTCAATTTGAGATACCTAAGATAGCAAGTCAGACTGCATTGGCTTCTTGCAAGTCATCAGAAGGAGACTCCCCAGACTTGCTTCAGATCAGCAGGATCTACGGCCATTTCACAGCTCTCACTTCTGGAAACTAAGAGCAGGAGAGCTTGTCTTGCACAATTGCTCCATAAATTTTGGCGAATACCTCATCATGCAGTCTGGAAGAAAGGACTGGCCTTTCTGAAGTCCACCTTCGGGAGAATGACCACGTGTGGTCTGTAACAGAGGAGATTCAGATCTGTGGAATGGAGTTGCCTTCTGTGTCCATGTGAAACCCCCAAAGAAAACGAAACCTGTAGGATTCATTGTTCTCACCCAGCATCCTAAAGAATGCTCCAGAAAGTGTTCTTTACTTGAAATGTCAGTGTTATGGGGCTTTGATAATATGGAGAGTGACAAAGAGTGTCTTTGTTTATGGGTTTTCAGAGGCAATTCTGAACATTTTTATTCAAAATCTTCTTACATTTTCATTTGAGTCTGTAACAAAGTGAACGTGGTGAGGGGGAGGCAAGAAAATACAAAAAGGTCAGAAGTGTCAAGTTCTCAGTGAAGCAGTTCATCTGTTAGAAAAACTTCACAGTGAAGATTTTGCTGAGGTGAATCCTACATGGATCATTTTTATCATCATTGTGCTCAGCAAAGTAGCACTTTGAGTGCATCTACTGATAGTCACTTCTGTGTTTTTCTCTTAGCACAGCATTATCACAAACCAGAAAGCTCTTTGAAATTGTAGTGCAATGTCCATGTTCACGTGATCAATAGAGGTAAAAGAAGATTCTGACCCAAGAGCAACACAGAAGGGTGTGCCTGAAGAGAATAAAAACAGCACAGGAGAGAACTACATGACTCTACCCAGATAAAATTGAGCATGGAGGAGGGTGGGGAAATGAGAAGAGGAGAAACAAGTTTTTAAAGCTTGCTTAACACTGGAAAGCTTTTCCATTATAACCATTTTATGAACAAAACCAAAAAGAAAAAAAAATTTTGAATTAATTTACTAGTTGAATGCTACTCACAACATAGTATTGCAACTTGCAACAAAGCATTATGCTGGCTAATTTATTTTACTCTACAAAAAGTGAAGGAATCAGAAAAATCAGCATAATTTCAGTCTCATTTAAATTATAACAACATAATTGAAATGAAGTGACCCGTCTGTAACAAGCATGAGGGGAATACACAAGCTTCATTACTGAATGCTGAGCCAGATGTGTACTTTAGAAGGTTTCTGGGAAGAGCCAGTTAATCCTAGTTATGGTTATAAATCCAGATGATCTGCTGCTGATCTGAATTTAAATTCAGTCCCTGTTTTCCTCCATTTCTAGATTCATGCCTAGATCTTTCACATTCTTTTGTACTAAGTTTCTGGAAGCAATGTGCAATTTTTTTCATGGTGAGGTCATGGCAATCAGACCAGAGCTAAAATTAAGAGCCTTTGACTTGAGTTGTGGCCCTGTTTGTTAGGTTTTTACTCCCATTTTACTACATACGTGTAACACTTACTGAAGTGTGCAAGAACAGAGAGGCATTATAAAATAGAATCAGTAAAGACTTTGGTTTTCTTATTAGGCATAAAATGCTCTAAAGGTTCAAATACTTTTCAAGATATAATCAGAAGTCTATTTAAGTTTATTTCATTAATTTTCATACTAAACTTCTCTACAATGCATTCTGTTTGCTCAAGAACTTTGCTGTCAAAAGACAGGAAACATTTTCTTTTTTTTTATTCCAAAGAGTATACTTAAAGAAAATAGATCATAAAGTAAGGATCTCCCATAATCTTCACTGGTAATATGGAGAAGCCCCCATGGCAGTGACATTAAGGTTTTCATATAAGAATATAAATTCCATGAGAAGAAATGCAAACAAATACTGAACAGTAAGTTTGGATACAGTACATTAATATTGTTTGTTTTAACTACCTCCTTATCATAAGATAACATTGTGGGACACACTTTCACTGAAAACCATGACCTGGGACTAGCACCAGGTGCTTAACAGTCCTCTGGCACATCACACTGAAAAGAAGAGATGTTTAACACTCAGTGTCAATGCAAGTAACTGCAAAATAACAAACTTGATATAAAGAGAAACAAGGCCATCTCCTACTGCAGGAGAAAGGTCTCAGTTTAAGTTGGAAGTTTCTGCTAATTGGATTAGTGCCAAAACTGTAGCAATAAAAAAATATTTTCCGTAGGAAGAGCTATGAATCGCCAGAGTATAGTCAACTAGTTAACAATTTTCTGCATCTGGACATATGCTCATGATACATACATCTGTTCTGAGGAAAACTCTGCCATGTCTTTTGGAAATACTAGGTGTAAACCAGAAATTAAATTAAGAAGCAGGAAAAGTATTACGCCTATAATTAATTTGAGGAATATCAACTCTAGTATAATTTAATATTTACTGTAAAAAGTTATATATATTTTAAAAGTTTTTCTGATAGAGTGTATATTCAAACAACTTTCTGTAATTGTAACCTTTTACTCTTAAGTGGGACTATACTAAGATGGTCAGACCCCAGGTTTATGGAACCCTAAATAACACAAATTCATCTTATCCCACTCAAAAATGTATCTGCAGTTGTGGACACTCTCTCATGCTTAAGAAAAATATAATTTCTCCATTTGTTCACAAAGCTCTACTATATAGTAAAAAAGGTATTTTCTGACGATGCCCTAAAATGTAGAACTGACACACGTTCAATCAGACTCCTATCAATACTTCCTGGAGAACTAACAAATCAGACAACAAATGATTCATATCCCTGGATTTCATTTCTAAGTCCAGGATAGCTAACTTCCATTTAAGAAAAAAAACATAAGTTTTTTTCCAGGCAGGAAAAAAATTAATATTATATTTCATAACAGTTTTCATGCACAAACCTCCTAGTTCTGGAGGGTTCTTTGACAATGGCTTCATAAAAGCTCTTAACACAAAATGATCTTTTGAAAATAATATCATTAACCTCCAAAAACTGGGAAGCTCAGTATAAGTTCTCTCAATGCATGTTTGCTGGGGCTGCACAAGTGAATTTTACCTTCTGTCTCACTTTTTTAGTGACAAAGTACCAAGAGCTTAAAATCATTCCTTGGGTTTTTCTGTCATTCAAACCCTGAGGCATATGAAGAATGTAAAGACAAAATGGAAGGACAGAGCCTCAAAAATGAGCCATAAATCTTTCAGAGGCCACACAATGTTGATTTGGCAACCCCTGTTTTTTTTTGAAGGATCCTTCAGTGTGGCTCCTTCCCATGCAGCTGTTTCCTTCAGCCTGGTGAGAGTCAAGCACCTCAGTTCTGTTAGCCACAGTACCTGAATTCACAGTATTTCACAGATTCTGAAATGCAGCTCTCCCAATGTACCATCTGACAAGCACATCAAAGGTAGATTTGAGAAAACACGGTTCTATTCTGCCACTTTACAGATCTCCAGATACTGACATTTGTATCTTAATGTTCAAAAGGAAAATATGCAAGCATTATGGTAGAAGAAACAAGTGGATGGCTTGACCCACTTATGATTTCACTGTGCAAGGCTTGACCCTTCTGTATGTAATAGAGTTTAGATACATACAAAACAGATAATTAAAAAATTTCCAGTGTTTTATTTTCTTTTAATAGAGCTCCTCAAAAAAAAAACCTATCAGTCTTGACAGACAATCTGAGATTAAACGTTAAGACCCCTTTAGGATTAATGTAACACAGTATTTGAATACCACAAAGATTGTATAAACTGTTTCACAGTGAGTTCTATGAGCTATTACCCACTAGTCAGCCTGAAGACTGAAGATAATACCTGATAATACCTGAAGAATTCAGCCACATCCAGAAACAAAGAAGGATTTTGAAAGTGGACTATAGGTAAAAATCTCTGAATTTCAGTAAGAATAAACAGAGAATGAAGCCTTCAGAAGCTTCTGGCAAGCAGGTAACTATGAGGTCATCCTCTGAGAAGCATCAATGCTGTGGAGAAGCAAAAGCCTGTCACGAGTGATCACAGGCCTTAATCCAGATGAGCTGGACTTGCTGAAATCCATGAAAAGGGCATCCATTCTGGCAAACTGGTGGCCAAGGATCTGAACACTAACAGTTTTCTGCTCTGGAAGATTATGTATGGTGTCATTTCTTCCTTCAAGGATGGATCAATGTTTCCTGGGTCTCTCAGTCTCTGTCCATGGTGCTCAGGCACCCCCAAGCACAGGGATCCATGCGGCTCCTCTGGACATGCAGTGATGCACACCAG